TTCGCGGAAAGGCGTAGTACCGGCAGGGTCCCATGTAGGGCCAGTAGTACGCGTGTCGTCCATCCCCTGCCGCATGTATCCCACAGCACATCCCATTATCACCCATAGAATGCCGAAGATAGTTATCTTGATCCAATGCATATGCATTTCGGCTTCGGAGATTGGTTTAGGCTGTGGTTTGTCAGGCTCTGGCGTGGTAGCCGTGAGGCGCCTGACCGGCACGGGATGCAGGTGGCCCCGCTGCGGGTAGCCCCGCAGGGTGACCACGTTCTCGATCGAGTTGCCGATTGGCATCTGGTGGAAGTCAGGAGTGAAGTAGCGCAGTGAAGTAGGAGAAAGCGTCTCGAGTTCGCAGGTGACCCCGCTAGCTCGATCGCGGACTGGCTCCGCTCCTCGCAGAGCCGGCGCAACATGGTATTCCACCGTAGTAGTAGTCCACCAAGTTGTGCCGTGGATTACAGGAATCAGAGCGAGAGCCAGCACTCCCCCCCCCCACCACCCGCCCCTCCCGCCCACGCCACGACGAGGAGTGTAGCCAGCTCCGCTACAAGTCGAAAAACAAGCTGGTAAGCTTAGGTATACAGTCCCCTTAGGCGCTTCCATATCCCACGGCTTAGGCCATACGCAATGAGCAAGAGAAGCGAGAACGAGCATGGATCCTGGAGTAAAGAGTAAGGATGGGCATCGTCAATGGAAAAGGATGTTTTCCGATCTCAGATGCGAGTAGGCGCCCTCAGTGAGGGCGCCGAAAAAAAAAATAAAAAGAATAAAAACAAGCTGCATAAAAAGATAACAACATGCACACACAACTAAGACCAAAACCAACACCAAACTTACCAAAGAAAAAATAAAAAAAGGACGCAAAGTAAGTCACATATCATGCCGGGCCCGGCTTGAGCCAGGCACGGCAGCGGTACATGCTCGATTTATACCTCGCCTTTAACCTTCTCCGTTTAAAGTAAGGGTACTCCCGTGGAGCCCTCTCGAGCGCGCTGCGTCGCCCCCAAACCCCTTTTGTTTGGATGGTCCATCCGGGACCTTCATGAAAGGGCAGAAGATCCACCCCGATAACAACCACCCCGACTGGCGAAACCGTTCAGTAAACAACCCCACTGCAGGAACCGAACAGGGCAGGGCTGTTTAGTGAACGCCCAGAACCGTTTACGAAACGCCAATTGTCCGGTCCGGGTGGTTTTTCCTCCCTTGATTCATGGTGACACTCGCTCCACTCGTGCGTCGAAGCTGCGTCGGAAGTCCGTCGACTCGAGCCGGCCATGAGTCGAACCCGAGTCGAACCTGCGTCGAACTCGACTCGAACCTGAGTCGAGCATGTATCGAACTGGGGCCGAACGGGAGTCGAACAGATCCGCTAGCTGGGCCCCCAGAAGGTGCCCCGAACGAGCATATACCCGGGTAGGCCAGACGGGATCGGGTGACCCCCTGTGAACGCTGACCCCCCGTAGCCGCAGCTCCGCATCCTGAAGACCTTGGGCGCTCGTACCCAAGCCCGCGTGGATGGCGCAATCTCGATGCAACGAAGCCGCTCCGACCGCGCGGATCGCTCAATGTCAGCCGATTCCACGCCACTGGCGGCGCTCAAACTTGAAATCTCGCGCTGAGGTCCCAACACAACACGGGGCTTTGTTGTCGTCCAGGACCTATCTCTCATGGCCCCCAGGACCCGAGAACGAGCCCCAGAGGCCAGAAGCTAGCCAAGGCCATCATTTGAAAGCTCAGATCGTCGGAGGTCAAGGGCCGCCGCCGCGTCGAGACGACCCGACCCCGCGTTACGTGCGCCCCGCTGGTCAACATGTACCGAACGAAAGACCCAAACATATGCAGTTCTGAATGCCGCGTTCTGGGTGCAGTTCTCGGTGGAGCTCCCTCTGGAGCCACGTTACGTGTGAGGCGTGTGCTGAACTGGCGCGGTGGTGCCATGCGAACCCTGCCACTGGGGCCTTTGGAGGGCGCCCTATGGGTCCACGAAACGAATGGGGAGTGTGCCGATATGGCGCGGAGGGTCGCATGCAAGCTCTGCTGCTGGGGCCTTGGGACGAGCTCCCTATGGGGCCACAAAAAGGGTGAGTGTGTGTGTGTGTGCGTGCGTGTGTAAGTGTGTAAGTGGGTATGTGTGTAAGTGTGTAAGTGTGTGGATGTGTGTAAGTATGTGTGTGTGTGTGAGTGTACATACGTGTGTATGTGTATATGTGTGTGTGTGCAAGTGTGCGTGTGGGTGTGGGTGTGGGTGTGGGTGTGGGTGTGGTGGTGTTGGTGTGGGTGTGGGTGTGGGTGTGGGTGTGGGTGTGGGTGCGGGTGTATGTGTGTGTGTGCGTGCGTGCGTGCGTGCGCGCGCGCGTGCGTGGTGTGTGCGTGTGTGTGTTTGTGTGTATGTGTGCGTGTGCGTGTGTGTGTGTGTGTGTGTGTGTGTGTCTGTGTGTGTGTGGTGTGTGTGCGTGCGTGCGTGCGTGCGTGCGTGCGTGCGTGCGTGCGTGCGCGTGCGTGCGTGTGCGGTGCGTGCGTGCGTGCGTGCGCGTGGCGTGCGTGCGTGCGTGCGAGCGTGCCAGCGCGCGTGTGTGTGTGTGTGTGTGTTTGGTGTGTTGTGTGTGTGTTGGTGTGTGTGTGTGTGTGTGTGTGTGTGTGTGTGTGTGTGTGGATGGTGTGTGAGTGTGTGTTTTGGGGGGGGGTGTGTGTGTGCGTGCGCGCAGCGCGTGCGTGAGCGTGAGTGCGTGCGTCGTGCGTGGCGTGTGCGTGTGCGTTGCGTGTGCGTGTGCGTGTGCGTGTGCGTGGGTGTGGCCTGGGAGGGTGCCCTAATGAATTCGTGTGTGTCGAATGCTCTGGTGCACTGGGGCCCTTCGCGGAGCTCCTTATGAGCCACGAAAGCGAAAGCGTGTCAGTGGAGTGTGTGTGTTGTGTGTGTGCTGCGCGCGCGCGCGTGCGTGCGTGCGTTGCGAGCGCGAGCGCGAGCGCGAGGCGCGGCCGCGAGCGCGACGCGTGCGCGTGCGCTTGCGCGTGTGCGTGTGCGGTGCGTGTGCGTTTGCGCGTGCGCGTGCGCGCGCACGCCGCGCGTGTGTGTTGTGTGTGTGTGGTGAGTGTTGTGTGTGTGTGTGTGTGTGTGTGTGTGTGTGTGTGCGTGCGTGCGTGGCGTGTGTGTGCGTGTTATGTTGTGTGCGTGTGGGGGAATGGAGGTGGGGTGAGGGGTGGGGGGGGGGCCGGGCGGGTGGGTGGGTGGGTGGGTGGGTGGGTGGGTGGGTGGGTGGGTGGGTAGGTGGTGGTGTGTGTGTCGAAATGGTGCGGGGGGGGCGCATGAGAGCCCCGCCTCTGGGCCCTTCTGGGGGGCTCCGTATGGGGCCACGAAACGAGTGAGGGCTGTGCCGACATGCCGAAATCGTGGGGAAAGGGCGCGTTTGAACTGTGCCACTGGGGCCTTCGGAGGAACTCCGTATGGGGCCGCGAAACGAATGAGGGGTGTGCCGAAAAGGGGACGGGGGGGGCGTATGCGAACCCTGTCACTAGGGCCTTGGGAGGGGCTCTCTATGCGACCACGAATCGTGTGAGGGGTTCTGCCGAAATGGTGCGGGTGGCGAGTGCGAACACTGCCACTGAAACCCACGGAGGAATTTCCTACGGGGCCACGAATCGTGCGATGAGTGTGCCGAAATTGTGCGGGGGCGCGTATGCGAACCCCGCCGTTGGGGCCTCCAGAGGAGCTCCATGTGGGGCCACAAAACATGCGGCGCGGGTGCCGAAATGGTGCGGGGGGGCGTATGCGAACCCTGCCACTGGAACCCTCAGAGGAATGAATTCCCTACGGGGCCACGAATCGTGCGATGAGTGTGCCGAAATTGTGCGGGGGCGCGTATGCGAACCCTGCCACTGGGGCCTCCAGAGGAGCTCCATGTGGAGCCACCAAACGTGCGGGGCGGGTGCCGAAATGGTGCGGGGGGGCGTATGCAACCCCTGCCACTAGGGCCTTCGGAGGGGCTCCCTATAGGGCCGCGAGGCGTGTGTTTGGGGCATTCGGAGGGGCTCCCAATTGGGCCCTCAAACCTATGATGGGTGTACTGACATGGTGCGGGGGGGCGTTCGCGAACCCTGCCACTGGGGTCTTGGGCGGGGCTCCCGATGGGACCACGGATCGCGTGAGGGGTGTGCCGAAATGGAAGGGGGGGGCGCATGCGAACCCTGCCACTGGGGCCTGAGGAGGAGCTCCGTACGGGGCCGCGAAACGGGTGAGGGATGTGCCGAAATGGTGCGAGGGGGGACGCATGCGAACTGTGCCTCTGGGACCTTCGCGGGAACTCCCTATGGGTCCACGAAACGTGTGACGGGTGCGCCGAAACGGGGCGGGGAGACTCGTGCGGACTGTGCACCTGGGGCCTGAGGGGGAGCGCCCTGTGGGGCCACGAAACGTGGAATCGGCGATACATCGCCGACTGCCGAATCCTGGGCGGGGTGGGCTATCCAGCCCCTCTTAACGATAAACATGCACCTAGAGCCAATGTGCCTACGTTTCGCGATGGCCGCCCGTGACCGGCCCCGCCCCCCTTTACCCCCTTCTGGTCACGTCACGATTCGGGCAGACGCCGCCTGAATGAGCCATTATCAGGCATTCCCAAACGTCGCCTGCCCGCATCGTGGCGTGGCCGGCTCGCCCCCACTCTTCCCCCCCAGTCCCTGCCGAGATCGTCAGGGGATACGAACACACCTGTATCTTGAGGGTCGGTGCGTCCCTCCCTACGCCTTTCACCCTCCCCCCCTAGCGTTAGGTCGGGCGTGTCCTCGCAGAGGCGGATTTGGGGGAACACCTAGAAATCATCAAAAGCATGCAACGCATACGTGTGTTTCATAATGTATGTGTATACACACATCGATCGACATACAAATATACATTTTCGCAGTTTACAAATATTTTCATATAACAAAAATCCAGACGTTTGGATATTCCTCCTGTATAAGGACATGCCCGACTCAATCCCAGCGTTCCCCCTGAGCCCCGAGGTCCTGGGGTGCTCGGTCTCCGGGAGCTGCCCGAGGGGCCGCTCGGGGTGGTCGCAGAAGTAGCGGGCCGAGCGCTGGTCCTGCGGGGGCGGCCGCGGAGACGGCCGCTCGGTCCGACAGCCTCGGCGCGCCGAGGCCCGGGCAGTTCTCCCGGAGCCGAGCGGAAGGCAGCAGGAACACCGCGCCGGGGGGGCGAACCCTCGTCCTCACCACCGCCTCTCCTCCCTCCTCCCCTCCTCCTCTTCCTCCGCCTCCTAACTCCTCCCCCTCCCCCTCCTCCTCCTCCTGCTCCTCCTCCTCCTCCTCCTCCTCCTCCTCCTCCTCCTCCTCCTCCCCGCAGAGACCTCGCCGCACGGTCCATCACCGCACGTTCGGTGGCAACACATGGGAGCCTCTCATACCATCTTGTCGGCTCTTGCGAACCGGCACGAGTCGCGATGCTACATCGACGCGAATCGACGCGAGGTCGGCGCCAAATCGGCGCTGGCCGGCGTTAAACATCGGCGCAATCTCACCCACCCCCAGGCGCTACTCGACGCTAATCGACGCTAGAGACAGAATTAAGAGGGTATACTCGGCTCCCATGATTTGCTAACGAACGCACGGTCTTGGGATCCTGGAGGCCCCCGTCGCCCAGGAAACGTCCTCGGAGAACGGCCCAAGTCCGAAACCGTGCGGTCACCCCGAATCCCCATCGACTGACCACACGGTGTGGCCACCGCACCGTTGATAGAGGGCTCCCGGCCGATGCCCAAGACGAAGCCAGGGGCGGGCCAACATCCGACGGGGACGCATCGGGGATCTCGGAGATCAGGCGTCTCTGGATCCAGGGTTGCGAGAGGTGCCCCTGGGCCAAAGGTGACCCCAGCTTTGCGGTCAAAATCCTGGAGCCCTTGGGGGCCCTCTGGGCCTCGAGAGGGGCGCTCTGGAGGCCGCGAGGGCCTTCTCGGAAATCCTGGGGGGCACCCTGGGCCAGGGGCACTTCTGGCAACACCCGGCTGGACCATGCATCTGGTACCCGCGACCGCTCCAGAGCGCTCCGGAAGGCTCTGCGAGTAGTGCGGGACGCTCTGGCTCGGGTGTTCGTGACCGGGGGGGGGAGCGGCAGAGGTAAAGGGGAGAGGCGTGCACCTTTGATGCGCCTATTTGGGCCCCCACGGTGGCAGCTTCAGAGCCGTGCAGATGCACCTTCCTGCAGTCCTCGGCCCTCGCCCCCCATGTGTTGGCCCCCCGTGGCCGTCCGCCCGGCCCAGGACGCTCTGGAGCGCTCTGGTCCCAGGCCCACCCGAATCTCCCCGGGGGGGCTTGTCCCCAGCTGATGTCCAAGACGATGGGGGCGTTTTCCCCCGTGTTCAGCTGTTCGGTTCCGTCCAAACGATGCGTAAACATAACGGCAGACCGAAGCAGAAGTGTTAGCGAGCGTGAGCCCCCAACGGTGGAGACTCCTTGCAATCTATGCGGTGCAACCTAGGTACAGGTAGTGCACTCACTGTGGAGCAATCCACATAGTGCAATCTATGCGGGGCAAAACAGTGCAGAGCAATGCAAAGTGAAACATAGCATGCAAAGCAACGCGGCACAAGTGCAATGCGATGTGATGCTATGCGGTACAAAGCTATGCAACAACAATGCAGCACAAAGCGATGCGAAGCGATACGTAGCGATGCAAAGCGATGCAACGCAATGCACATCAACGCACAACAGTGCAAGGCAATGCAACGCAACACAACGTAAACCAATGCAAAGCAAGGATGCACATCAGTGTACAGCACTGCAACGCAACGCAAGCCTAGCAATGCAAATCACCGTAACGCACTGCACAGTAATGGAAAACAGTGCAGCGGAAGGCAGGCCCGGACGGCAACGGGTCGGCGACGGTGACCACCTGGCCGCCAGACCACTGGGCAGGCCAAGAGCGACGGGGCGGCGACGGCGACAACGTCGAGGCAAGACCGACGGGCAGGCCCAGAAGGCGGGCGGCGACGAGGCGGCGACGGCGACCACACAGCCGCCGTACCGACGGGCAGGCCCAGCTCCTTCGAAGGGGAGCTCCGAGGGGGAGCGGTGCAAAGCCAGCGCCGAGGCCTACAACAAAGATGATCTGTGCAGTCCTCGGGCACACGCTAGCACGGATGTCGCAACAGTTCGTCGACTGCCCCTCCAGAGAAAGCTACGGTCCACGGCAGCCGACGCCATCAGGCCAGGCCACTGCGCCGAGCGCACAACGCCTGCAGCGCGCCGCGCCGTGCTCCGCAATTGCCTCTCGAGCAAATTTCGGTCGGTGGGCTCGTCGTGGCAAACTGGACTAGAGGTCCGTGGTGGATCTGGCGCGCACGGGAAGACGGACCCGCCGACACATCAGGCTGGGACACGGCCTAGTTTACCAGCCTGGAATAAATCCCTATCCCTATGTTGGGCATCGCCTCATCACGATGGCGATCTTAGGGATTTCCTCAGTTTCTGAGGATGTATCCCTAAGATTGTCATCTCCTTTTAGCGTGTCAATCTTACGGATAGGGATACGTTCGAGGCTGGTGACTAGTATGTCGACGGAGCGCGCAGATTCTGCACGGGAGCAGGGGGCCCGTCGCTAATCCACGCACCCTCATCCACGTGCTGCGCTGCCTCGAGATCCGCAGGCCCGGTGGACCCCTCCCCCAGGATGGGGCTGCCGTCCCGGACCCTTCAGCTTGTTGTACGGTCCCAAGGTCAAACGACGCCCCCCATAAGCGTGAAACAACGAAACAACTGCGTCCTGCTATTTCCAAAACGTTGAACATCTTGGGACGGGACTGTTTGTACAATTCACCAAGAACTGTCCAGCGTAAACTTCGTGAGCTTGTTGTTCCCGAACCTGCCCAGCGCCTCCTCCGACAGCTGTCTCGTCTGCGGGCTGACCGAGTCGCCCACCTCAGAGGGGCCCAAATAGCGAAACACCCTCCACGGTAATCCTTTCCCGACGCGAGCGGGCCTGGAGGCGGGCAAGGCCACTCAACGCCCGTTCAAACTCGGTCCCTGGACCCCTCCTGGAGTCCAACTGGTGCAGTTGTTCTCCCCGGATGCGTTTCTGACGGTCCTGGAGCCCGAAAGCGGGCCAGGGAGGCCGAGTCGGGCAAAAACTTCCCGCCCCCCCCTGCCCCACACTCCCCCCCTCCCCCCCTCCCCCCCCCCCTCCCTCCCCACCCCCCCCCCCGCCCCCCCACCCCTAGAACCTCGAACCTGCGCGCCCCTCTTCCCCCCCCCCGACTTCCGCTGCGCCAGAACCAGTGCTGCGCCACCTCGGGACCCCAGCCGACTCCAACTCTGGGTCCCTCCCGAGCTCGTCGACCCCGACCCTGCCGCGACTCTGGGGGGCGGGCCACGAGCTCCACAGAGTTCTCCACCGCGCCCCAAGGCGGCCCCACGAGGGCAACGTGGTGCCCACGAAGCCCCAGCGCAACCGCACCGTGTGTCCCCCCCGAGCTCGTTGGCCTCTGAGATCCGACGTTGCGAACAAGCTGAATTATCGCAGAAAACTCGCGACTCTGAAACCCCGGACCCCCGACCGCATCGATTTGCCAAGGTCCCGGGGCCCGAAAGCGAGCTAAAAATGCCTGTTGTGAAAAAATGCATCGCCAGGATCGCAGGGCACTCGGAGCCCATCTGGGAGGCTTAGATCTGCACCCCCCGAACTCGTCCGCCCCGACCCTCCCTGGGTGGCGACATGCAGACGCTATACCCCTGAATCGATGCTCCTGGCCCGATCGGAGGCGGGGGTAGGGTTCGGCTTTCGCCACGTGTTCGACGAATTCCCAACCCCACCCCCGCCGCCCACGAGAGTATCTCTTTCTTCACGGCGATAACGGGCGTTGTGAGAAGGGGGAAAAAGGGGGTCTGGGGGGGAGGCACAACGTAACGCACCCGCCAACTACCGTGACAGACTGTGGTGCCGGACGCACTTGAGCAGTGCCGGGGACGCTCTGGAGTTAGGTCGGGCATGTCCCCCTAGAGGCGGATGTTGGGCGAACAAAAACAAAAAACAAATGAAACAAAAAAAGCACCAACATGGTCAAACAATACTTTAAACAAAGTCGACCCCATACTATTTTTGACCATTTTTGAATCTTCCCCCTGTTGAAGGACACCCCCGACTTGACACTGGAGGGGGGGGAGCCTCACGTTACGTTCTGGGTTATGGGGGCGGGAATGGGGGAGGGAATGGGGGAGCGGGGGAGCATCCCGCGCGCCATGGCCCAGAGGGCAACAGGAACACTCTCCATCGAGCTGCCTGCATCGTGGATCGGCGAGGGCCTAGCAGCAGGCCGGGCGACCCCGATCCCCGACTACTCTGCGGGCTCTCCGCTCGCACCAGCTCTTTTCGGCCAGCCCCGGGGATCAATACGGCGGGGGAGCGCCAATCCTCGACGAGGGTGCAGCCGAATAGCCCCCTGGGGGTGGGCGGCCATCGAGCTTCCTCCCGGGCTCAGGGGGCGAGAGTTACGGTTGGCGTGTCCCTCTACAGGAGGAATGTCGCGCATTTGCCGAACAATAGTCTGGGCACGATTTGTTCTCCAATTTTGAACATTTTCTGGATAGTTTGTACCGTTCATCCAGAGTCCGCCTGCAGGAGGACAGGCCCGACCTACAGCGAGGAATCGCCTGCGAGGGCAGGGCTCGGCAACTGCGCCGCCGACGCCCGATGCTCAGGGGGAACGAACGGGGGGGATAGCAAAGGGTAGGGTAGAGACTCAGCTCACGTAGCTGATTTCCCCAGCGCCTCGCGGCGCTGGGGAAGGCGCCCGTGCATCGAGGAATGGGCCCGGCGGCGGGGCCGAAACCAGCGGCACGCAGCAGATTCCGTAACCCCCCCCTCTTTCCCTATCCTCCTGACTACCTACCAGACCACCCCAACCCAGCCCGAAGACCCGAATTTCGGGTTGGGGGGGTAAGGGTTCCACGCGTGGCTGTTCCATGTTTCCCGACCCCCCCCCCCCACTAGAAATCGAGGGTAAATCTGAGCCTTCGGGTTGGGTTGGGGTGGTTTGGTGGGTGGTGACCTCCCCCTTTCGCTCGGCCCGAGATGCGCCCGCGCGCCTGGTGCACGGCCGCCAGCCAGCGCCGGTCGCTGCCACCCGTGCGCCCAGCCTCGGCGTCGGCGGCCGCCTGCGCCGCCGCCTGGCGCCCTCGGAGCGCCACGAGAGCCAACAGAGGGGAGAGGCCGATGTTGCACCACCGGTTCCATGGGCAGGACAGGGGAGAAGGGAGGGTGGGGAGGTCCTCCTCCTCCTCCCCTCCTCCTCCTCCATCTCCTCCTCCTCCTCCTCCTCCTCCTCCTCCTCCTCCTCCTCCTCCTCCTCCTCCTCCTCCTCCCCCCTCTCCTGCCTCAAAAGAGCCCATCAGAGGAGCTGCCACCACCAGAACTCCAAGGAGCTCCGTTCTCCAAGAGCAATCCTCCGAGCTGGTGGCACTCTCTTCTGCGCACTCCCTGGGGGCGCGCCCGGAACGGCGGGCCGAAACGCCGGTCCGATGGGGCAGTTGTGCAGACCTCGGGGGGGTCCACGCATGTCGCGCCAGATGTCTGGGCAGATCGGGCTTTGAGGGATGGGGCCATACGGGCACTCCGTGTGGGATAAAGATTAAAGCCCCCCTCCCCCCCCCACGGGTTGAAGGGCGATCCTCAAGGTTCTGCTTGGCAGCCGTGAGGCGTTCCGTTTTGTGTCCATTTCCGATGTTCACGAAGCGTTGCCAATCCCCAATCCCGCGCTCTTCTGCCCACGCGTCCTTCTGGATGCTCTGCTCTGTGCAGGTGACCGCTTACGCCAAGGGTCGAGGGGTGAGGTGGGGGGAAGGGCACGTGCTGTCGAAAGGTGTCTGGGCGTATAGGCTCGACTTCAGGAGCTGCGACGGGGAAGCTCCGTGGCAAGGTCAGTCACCCCCTCCCCGATTTCATCCGATCCAGAGCACGGTCAACCCGTAGAATAAGGATGCGCGGTAAGGATGCAAGGGCTTCGGAGGGTCATGTTAACGTTTTTCAAACGAGGCTGGCCAGCGAGCATACCTGAGGATGGACCGAACAGGGGCCAAGATGTAAGGGGGTAGTCTTGGACAATTGCTCATCCTTCCTATGCGGGCTGACTGCAGGAAGGGACCTCAGATGGAGTTTGCTTTTCTTGAGACCCCTCGTCCTCAGTGCCCCGTCCCTCGTTCGGGAGGGACGGTGGGGTTCTGGGCCCCGTGGGGCTGGCCGAGAAAACTGCCTTGGACTCGTTTATGAAAAGCTGGCTGCCGCGTGCCTGAGCATCCAGAACTACGCAAACGCAATGTGCAATTCGTTATCCACCCGAACACTCGCGTCGCGTACGTCCGGGGACCTCAGTGGGTTTCTGGGGGCCCTCTTGGGGCTCTTGTGCAGGGGTAGTGGGTCTGGGCTCTCTGGAAGGATCTTTGTCCCCCGTCGGGGCCCTCGCGGGGCTCTCGTGGAGCCCATCGAACGGACTTGGAGGGACTCTTGGAGCCATGCTAGGCTGGGACACATCGCGCACCGATCCCCGCGGGGCCGTCGGGGCCTGGAGATCAGCACCACGGCAACGCGCGCGCCGGATTTCCCTCCCGACAGCAGAGTTTCGTGCTCGACGGCCGGAACGCGCTCTGGTGGGTGACAGCCTGAGACCTCGACGGGCCCGTGGGCGAGGAGGAGGAGGAGGAGGAGGAGGAGGAGCAGGAGGAGGAGGAGGAGGGGGAAGGAGGGAGGAGGAGTAGGAGGAGGAGGAGGAGGAGGAGGGAGAGGAGGAGGAGATGGAGTAGGAGGGTTTCCATGGTGCTCTTCCCCCCTGCATGGGGCCCCGCGACAGCGCCGCTGCTGCCGGGCGAGCCCGGGATCCGCACGGCTCGCCCCGGGGCGCCCGTCGGGAAGGCGCCCCGCGGAACCCCCAGGGAGGCCCCGCCGAGGCCCCATGAGGAGGAGGAGGAGGAGGAGAAGGAGGAGGGGAGGGAGGAGGGAGGATGGACGCGGAGGAGCGAGGAGGAGAGGAGGAGGAGAGGAGGAGGAGGAGGAGGAGGAGGAGGAGGAGGAGGGAGGGAGGAGGAGGAGGAGGAGGAGGAGGAGGAGGAGGAGGAGGAGGAGGAGGAGGAGGAGGAGAGGGAGGAGGAGGAGGCGGAGGAGGAGGAGGAGGAGGAGGGGGCCCGAGGCGCTGCGCCGACCGCCCGCAACAACAGTCGCCCACCCTCAGTGGCGCAGGGGAAACAATGGAAGCCAATCTCCCCCTCAAGGAAGGCGCCCTGGGACACACAAGCAAATACGCACTAATGACAGGAACACCCTATCTTTCCCATATGTTTTAGATTATCTTTCCCCCCAAACCTTTCAATACATTCCCATATTATCTGGGATATCAACGATTAATTGTGTCGGTGTCTTTTGTCCCCTCCTGACTCAAGGAGGCCCGCAGAACTCACGCAGTCGCCCAAAGAGCACGGATGACCTTGTCATACTGGTTCTGTGACGCGCGCTACACCGATGCTGCTCTGGGCGCCATGCCATTGGGGGGGCGATCCACTCGGCCCGTGCCAGATTGCAGCACGTGACATTCACACTCAAAACCATTGTCTTTGTCCCTGGGATTTGCGCCCCCGCCCGGCCTGGCGTGAGACCCTGCCTTTCTTCCCTCCCGAGTCGTCCAAGAAGGCCCCATACCCGAACCGCCAATATATTCCGATCGCGCGGCACCCGGCTGGCGCCGGCTGCGATCGCAAATCTTCAGCGACATGATGTTTTGAGACCGTGGTTAGGTCGGGCATGTCCTCCTACAGGCGGGTGTTGGAGGAAAAATGCACAATACCCCAAAAAAACAACATTTAAAAATAGCCACCAACAGTCGAACATCGTCCCCAAACTATGTTGGACTATGTTTGAATTTTCCTCCTGTAGAGGGACATGCCCGACTTAAATCTTCAGCGACGTGATGTTTTCAGACCAAGGCCCCCCGCCAGCCGACATCGGGGGATCCCGCGCGGACCTCCGCAAGAGGCACCCGGATGGAGTCCGAGCAGATGGCCTCCAATCCCCGACATGCTCGCGTCGTGAAAAAAAAAGTCGCAACGGGAAGCTTTCGGCAGTGTTCGGCCTCCGAATGCCCTTACCTGAGGGGTAACGATAGGGGAGGGTCCATCGACCTGGAATCGGCGATACATCGCCGATACATCGGCGATAGGCCTCCGATAGTGAATCCGCACCTTCCTGGGCAGGTTGGGGCTATCGGGCCCCTATCGGCGATCAATGGGCGATTGGGGGTCGACGCATCCCCCCCTGTGTCTATCCCAACCTATTGTTGCCCCTGATTAGCAGCATGACCGCCCAAAAACAACTCGAGAACAAGCCCTTGGAACAGGGCCGGTACCTCCAGGGACCCCGCATGGACAAAAAGCAGGGCGTCGGATGTTGGAGATGGCGTCCGAGCAGATGGGGTCGGAGGATCGCAACGCACCGCCGGTGCATCGGCGGCGCATCGGCGATGCCTCGGCGACGTCGGCGTGAGGAGAATCGGGCTCCACGTCGAGTCGATCCGCATCGGCGATGAATCGGCGGCGCTGCGCGACCCTCCGACCCCATCAACTGGGAACAAGGCCTTGACCCTCTTGGCCGCGGCGAGCACCCGACGGGCGGCGGCTGCGATCGCCCGTCTCCGGTGGCACGAGTGCCTCCTCCTCCTCCTCCTCCTCCTCCTCCTACCCATCCTCCTACACTCCCCTCCTCCTCCTCATCCCTCCTCCTCCTCATCCTCCTCCTCCATCCCTCTAAACATCCTTCTCCTCCATCCTCCTCCTCATCATGCCTCACAATACATCATCCTCTCCTGAATCATCATTATCCTCTTTATCCTCCTACTCTCTCTCCTCCTCCTCCGCCTCCTCCTAATCATCATTCTCCTCATCCTCCTCATCCTCATACTCCTCCTCCTCCTCCTCCTCCTCCACCTCCTCCTCCTCCTCCTCACTCACCACCTCCTCCTTCTCCACCTCCTCCTCCTCCGCCGCTTCCTCCTCCTCCTCCATCGCCTCATCCGCCTACTCCTCCCCGGCTTCGGCTCCAGCCCCCTCCTCCTCTCCCTCCTCCTCCTCCTCCTCCGCCCCCGATCCGGACGGTCTCCCCATCGATCTATCCGCGCTCGCGGGCAGCTGTCGGGCGCCAGGGCCACGAGAACTGGGCCCCTTCGCGGGCGAGCCGGTCGCCCTCGCCACCGCGGCCCCACCCCTGCGCCTGTCGGAGCGGAGCTTCTCAGAGCCTCCTCTCGGCGGCGAGCGAAGGGGGGGCAGCGAGAAGGAGAAGGCCTCCTCAGAAAGGCGGCGGGACTTCGCAGAAGCCCCCGCGCCGTCCGAGCCTCTGCTCCGGCTCAGCAAGCTCCTGAGAGGGCCCGGGTGCCTCCGAGACTCTGGAGAAGGGCCGCTGCTTCTCCCTTCCCCCCCTTCGCTCGCCGCCGATCCAAACCACCCCCCGCGGGGGGGGAGGGGGGCGCTCGGGACCCCTGAGGCCGCGACGTTTCACAGGATGCCAGCGGCTGCCAGCGGAGCCTCGAGGTTCTTGTTATGGTCAGGTCGGGCTCGGCCCCCCTACAAGGAGATTTGGGGCGAAACATGTAACGCCCCAAAAAACACACACACACACACACACACACACACACACACACACACACACACACACACACACACACACACACACACACACACACACACACACACACACACACACACACAAAATACTAAAAAATACTGAAACAAATCGTCCAAAGACAATTGTTTTATATTATTTTCGAATAGTCCGCCTGTAGAAGGACACGCCCGACTTAATGCTATGGGCCTCGGGGAAGCGTCTCCCGTGGCCACGGCCTGATCCGCCTCCAGCTCCTGCCCAGTGCGCGCCCCCAGCACTGGTCCAGGGGTCGGCTTCTGACCCCCGCGGGCCCAGGGCCCCCCCCCTCGCGCCAGGAGGCAATCCTTAGGTCGGGCACGTCCTCCCGCAGGCGGCGTTTGCAAGGGAGGCATGAAAGATAAACGGCACATGCTCCAAACATGGTCAAACGTAGTCGAAGCATCGTCCCCTAACTATGCTCTAACTGTTTTTGAATTGTCCGCCTGTAGCAGGACAAGCCCAACATACATTGGGGGCGTCCAAAGAGGGCGGCGTCCA